GATGAGCAGTTCAACCCCAGCAGCGACTCTACGTAAGAAAGATGTGGCAGTCTGTTCCCATAAAGGTTACAGCCTTGGAAACCCTATGGGCAGTTCTACTTATATGTCAGAATTGACTTGACAGCAGTGGCTTTGGTTGGGTTTTTACAAAAGTAAAAACTGGTCTTTCCTAATTTTCAGTTCAGAGTATATAATGCTCATTACCCAAAGTAAACTTAAAAAGCAGCAGAGTATTTTTTTCTTGGTTATCTTCCTTACCAGATGTTTATTCAACTTCAAAAGGAACATTCAAAAAATTTTTTTTCTGATCCTAAAGGCTTCTCTGGTAGCATAGTGGCTAAGACACTTGCCTGCTAACCAGACGGCTGGCGGTTCAAACCCACCAGCCACTCCTCGGAAGGAAGGTTGGGCAATCCTACTTCCGTAGTGATACTGCCTCGGAAACCCAAGGAGGGGTCGCTATGAGTCGGGGCCGACTCGACGGCACATAACAACAACAACAAAGGCTTCTACATTAGCTTCAGTAAAATCAAGCAATTTTGAACTTGTATTCTTCAGGCCTAGGAGCCTTTGCCCAAGTGAATATTCATCAACTCCTCGTGTGCACTGGGTATTAAATACCAGAGGTGCTTACACCTCTCCAGAGGAGCACACCGATCAGGAAGACGTGGTTCTATGGACTTTTTTTTTTTTTAAATAGCAGCCATTTAAACACCTGAACCCTTTATACATTCCAAAGAAGTTATTTTATGTCATCATCTTAGGATATTTCTGGGAGACTGAGGCAAGTGAAATGTATACGGTAGTTGTCTGTACAAGCCCTTAGACAAGTTCTCCCAAAGAAGCCAGTAGCATCCAAGGGGATGTTTTGGCAATGTAAAACTTGTTTTAGATGGCAAGAAGATCGATGCCACCACTGGAGCTTAGTGGACAGGGCCAGGGTAGTTAGTCTTGCAACCTATGAGACAGAGGGAGCTCTGGTAGCATAGTGCCTAAGGCACCTGACTGCTAACCAGAAGGCTGACGGTTCAAGCTCACCAGCCACTCCTCAGAAGGAAGGTTGGGAAATCTACTTCTGTAGTGATACTGCCTCGGAAACCCAAGGAGGGGTCACTATGAGTCGAGTCCGACTCGACGGCACATAACAACATGAGATGGAACCACATGATGAAACACTGGCATCCTGCATGACTCTCAAATTCATGTAGTTGAAATTTCATGTTTCATTTTCTGAGTCTAGAACCTAACTTCTTTATACATGTAAACACTAAGCAGTCTTTAGCCAACCACGAAATTTAATCTGTACTATGCATTAGTTAATTGTTTTCCAAATATGCAACTAACATGTAAATCAAGAGACTGTACATTGTTTCCTTCAGTACTTTACTAAGCATGATTAGTAAAGGGGGAGGGGATGTCTTTTAATGGGAATGCTCATGAGTCACTGTATCACAGGCTGTTGCTGTCCATACAGTGATCACACATACATACATAAGTATCAGCCTACATCAGTCTTCTTATGTAATCATGCCCAAGCATTTAAATATTGAAATACAACCAAATCATAAATTTTTTATAATTATGTACATTATGTATATAGGAGAGATACCTATGAATTCCCCAGTAAAGGGTACATATATATTTTTTATAAAAAGCAGAGGGTCTGATAGGATCAGATTTACCAATTTTGTTGTTAGCTGTAATACAAGAATGCAACTTGTATAGATGGAAAATTTACTAAACGTGACTGATCGTTCCCCAAACACTAATAAACTAAAATTCGGCATATTTAATCAAATGGAATGAAAATCCCATTCAATCATGAACTTTTGCCTCAGAACCCAGAATTAAATAGTCACAGCACGCTCTGATGAGTCAGCACGTACTGAACGTTCAGAGGACCATGCAGATGAGCTGGTATCATCCCAGGATGGGTAGGATCAGTGTTGCTTTGTCTCCATCCCTCCTCCTCTTCTATCCTCAGATGCTGATGTAGAATATAAACAGAGCTTTGTTAAGTGGTAGGGCTGGGGCTTTGTTGTGTGGGAAATCAACTTATTCCGACCATCCTCCACATTTCATTTACATACTGTCATACTGACCAAAGTAACTCAACACTTAATATTTTCCTCTTCACTGCAAAGCCAAACTTTTGTTTCACATTTTATGGGCACAACCTTTGAAAAAGGTCAAACAGAAAGCTGCTAAAATAGTTCACTGTACAGTAATAAACACATTCAAACGATCACACATACTTGCATTTTAAAATTAGTTTTTTCAGTAGGGAAATTGTGAAAAAATACAATAAAGCAAAAATTTCCAGATAAATCTGATTGTCATGATGAAAATATATGTAAGTCTTACATTTAACATTTTTTTGCATCCACATTCCTTAGATTAAAAAGGATTCAGAATGAATTTGGAGGACATTATGATGAGTAAAGTCAATCACAGAAGGACAAATATTGCATGAATCCACTAATGTTAAAAGTCAAGGAAAGGTTTACACACGAAGGAAACTTTCTTTTCTTGTTATGAGGGATGGGAGGAGAGGAGAGGGAAAATTGCTAGATCGCTAAGAGATTGATTTAGGTGAAGGGAAGGAAATACACCAAAAGCAAAGGACCAGCACGATAACACTAAGAGAAAGACAAGGAGAGGTGTACAAGAGGTACAGATAACAAAGGTAAACAGTTTTACATACACAATACTGTGTTATTAATAACATTTATCTATGGTGGCTACATGATCAAGTATGTCTAGGTAAAAGGGAATCTATGCAGGACTGTGTTTCAGATATATTTCTACATACATATTTGTAGGTACTCTAACAATGTCCATATATGTAATAGAGCTAATGGGGCAGAGTTCTAACTTCTTAGCCAGAGCCAAACACCTTGAGGGAGTGAGTCGCTGGGGCCATGGGTTCTGGCCCATGGTCACTGGGGACATCAAGCTCAATTGGTGTAACGTATTAACAAAAACATTCTAACCCTACTTTGGTTAGTAGTGACTGGGGGTCTTAAAAGCTTGCAAGCAGCCATCTAAGATGCAACAATTGGTCACTCCTCATCCAGAGCAAAGATGGAAGAAAACCAAAGACACATGGAAACAGTCCAAGGGACTAGTAGACCATGTGGACTTCAGCCTATACGACAAGCAGAACTAGATGGTGCCTGCCTACCACTGTCAACCACTTGAAAAGAGATCAAAATAGGAGATCTTGGGTAGAGTGGGAAAAAATGTGGAAAAAAACTCAGAATCATAAAGACCAGGCTTACTGGTCTGATAGAGCCTGGCAAAACTGAGACTATGGCCCCTTATCACCCTTTGGGCCTGGGATTAAACTCACTCCCATGGCTTCCAGCCAGACAATGGATAGGCCTGTAAGATGAACCACTTACACGAGGTACGCACACTCCTTAGAAGAACAATCAACCGTGGGACATGAGAAAGGCAGCATTTGCACAGGGAGAGAGGTAGGGAGGCAGGAATGCATAGGAAAGAAGGGCACAGGGAAAAGGTAACCACAGGAACAAACTGGGAAGACAGCTATTACATACGAGGATGCAATCAATGTCATGAAACAAAATGTATATGAATTGCTGAATGGAAAATGAATTTGCTCTGTAAACTTTCACCCAAATCACAATTTTAAAAAAATCAAGTCTCCTACCAAATAAATAGCATTTAATTGTCAACCAGAAGGCTGCCAGTTCAAACCCACCAGCCACTCTTGGAAAGAAGATGGGGCAACCTACTTTCATAGAGATACTGCCTTGGAAACCCAAGGAGGGGTTGCTAGGAGTGGAAACCGACTCTAAGGCAGTGAGTTTGGTTTGCTTTTTTCCGACCAAATAAATCACTGTTCAACAATAAAAAGGATTCAGAATGGCAAACTCTGAATCTGCAGATGTGAATGGTAAAGATATTAAGGTTTTGTTTTTGAAATTCAGAACAGTATCCTCTATCATGAGCTTTCTTTGGAGAATTAAAAATAAACTTGTGGTCCATAAATTGTTACAAAATAACCTCCCTAAATGTGGAGGAGTTTGATAAAACTAAAGCATTTTCCTATGCTTATTTTTCCAGGTAATAAACTTTAAAATCTATTAAATGAAACATTCATTTGACAAATTAGTTTATTAACTTCAGTTTAAAGTTGTACATAAAACAGCAATGATGACAAGTTCAATAAACAGAATAAAGCATTTATTAAAACATCATGTGATATAATAAACTTTTTGAACCAATGGTACAGTAAACATTTCCCCTCATTGACCTCCACCTAAAACACAGCTGAATTACAACATAATCTTACTAGAACTTGAAAACATGTATGCCATTTACCACTCAATGATTTAATAGTTAGGTGACTTCAGATCCAGAATTTTTTGATGAGTCAAAGATAGAAAACAACCTAAAAGACAATCAAACTCCTGTATGCCTGAAGGTTAAATTTTATTTACCCTGTTCACTGGTGTATGTTCTAACTTATCTTTACAACAAAGATTTCATGAATTATGTCCTCCCTTGCAACAGAAAATAAATATCAAAAACAGATAAGGGTAGGAGTTGGCTCTCAAACTATATTTTATTAATTACTATTACATTCTCTTAAAAAAAAAAATCCAATCCACTATAAGCATGCAAAAAGTTCTCTGAATGGAACTGCTTCTGCAGACTCTTGGGTATCAATAGGTAAATAATAAAGGTCATTCAATTGTAGTTCTCTCCTCTTGTACAGCACTTTCTAAGCAGCGTGTGTGATGTACACTACAGAGGTAGGAAAGACCATCTTTAATAAATTATCTTAATTGTAAAGAGTTTCTGAAAATAAAATTGAAAAAATGCTAAACCATGCCTTTGATGAGTGCCAAAGGACACAGATCCATCTCTTCCTACTTAATGAATTAATCCACTGAAGCCTTTGTAGGGCACTTGATAACAAGATCTACCAGGGCTCCAAACAACCACACTAGGAAAGCTTTCATCCACTCTCATTTGCCGATTCTTTGGACCACCCAGTCCTGCTGGCAGAGGGGGCAGCGATTGTTCTGTTTCACCCACAGGGACATGCAGCAGTTGTGGAAGGAATGATTACATTCTCCCCAGACCACTGAAAGAAAAAAAGAGTAGTTAACATTACATATTTTAATTCAAATTCAGTATTAAACTCAAAATTACAGCTATGCTATTTTCTATTATAGATTTTATGAATAATAACATCAGCTTTCTACTGACTGAACTACTAAGATGATTGTTGTTGTTGTTCAGTGCCGTCAAGTCAGCTCTGACTTACAATGACCCCATGTGCAACAGAACAAAACACTGTCCTGTCCCGTGCCAGCCTCACAATCCTTGCTATACCTGAGCTCACTGTGGCAGCCACTTTATCAATCCATCTCATTGAGGGCCTTCCCCTTTTTTGTTGACCCTCCACTTTACCAAGCATGATATCCTTCTTCAGGGAACAGTCCCTTCTGACATGACCAAAATAGGTCAGACAAAGTCTGGCCATTCTCACTTCTAAGGAACACTGCGGCAGCACCTCTTCCAGGACAGCTTTGTTCATTCCTTTGGCAGTCCATGGTACTTTCAGAATTCTCTGCCAACACCACAACTCAAAAGCATCAACTCTTCTTGGGTCTTCCTTGTTCACTGTCCAGCTCTCACAAGCCTACGAAGCAAATGAAAATACCATGGCTTGGGTTAGGCGCACCTTAGTCTTCAAGGAGACATCTTTGCTCTTCAGCACTTGAAAGATCTTTTGCAGCAGATATGCCCAGTGCAATACATCGTCTGATGTTTTGACTGTTGATCCCATGAGTGTTGATTGTGGAACCAAGTAATATGAAATCTTTGGCCACTTCAATCATTTCTCCATTTATCATGAGGCTGCTTATTGGTCCAGTTGTGAGGATTTTTGTTTTATGTTGAAATGTAATCCATACTACAGACTGTAGTCGTTAATCTTCATCAGTAAGGTGCTTCAAGTCATCCTTTCAGCAAGCAAAGCTGTCTCATCTCTGTATCTCAGGTTGTTAATGACTCTTCCTCCAATCCTGATGCCACGTTCTTCTACATATAGTCCAGCTTCTTGGATTATTTGTTCAGCATATAGATTGAATAAGTATGGTGAAAGGATACAACCCTGACACACACCCTTCCAGATTTTAAACCATGCAGTGTCCCCTTGTTCTGTTCGAATGACAGCCTCCTGATCTATGTACAGGTTCCTGATGAGCACAATCAAGTGTTCTGGAATTCCCATTTTTCTCAATGTTATCCATAATTTGTTATGATCCACACAGTCAAATGCTTTTGCATAATCAATAAAACACAAGTAAACATCTTTCTGGTATTCTTTGCTTTCAGCCAAACTGTCTGATATATTACTTAGATGGTTAGTGAGTCAAAATAATTTCTATTTATAAAGCAACACATAGAAACTTACATGTAGAAGTTATGATAAGTCACTGTGTTTGGAAGACTTTTCATTCAAAAATCTGTGGGTGATGTGGTGGCCCCAGGTTTCTACACAGCTCCACATGCTGTCTTCCTAAAGTTAAGGGCTTAAAGGATTTGAGTCATTCTTAGATGCTAGGCCTTCTCAGTCATCTACTGAGCTTGGAGTTCTTTGGGGCTTTATTAGAAAATGTCCTCCCAACTTTTATTTACCAAGATATAATGAGTTTTAAATGTTTCTCTTTCATAGCAGGCTATAACTGATAGATAATTACTCTCCTAAACATTATCAGCTGTACCTCTACCTACTGAGCTGTTCTCTTGTTGTTGTTGTTGTTATGTGCCATCGAGTCAGACCCGACTCATAGCGAACCCGCCTTGGGTTTCCGAGGCAATATCACATGGAAGTAGATTGCCCCATCTTCCTTCTGAGGAGTGGCTGGTGGGTTTGAACCGCCAGCCTTCTGGTTAGCAGTCAAGTGCCTTAGGCACTATACTACCAGAGCTCCCGAGCTGTTCTCTAGAAGTGGTAAATTAATGTTAAATCATCTACAAGCAATAGCCATTCAAAGTGGCTGGCTAGAGAGAGAACTCCCTTGTGATCAAAGAAATCTGCTCTGCTCCTCCCAATTTCCAAATTAATATACTCCGAACAAACAGTATAAGAAAAAAACCGAAATCAAGGGAATTCACGGACAATCTGGTATAAAATCTCAACCTTGATTTCTTCCCTTGCTTGACCAATTGAGCTGTATGACAAAGACCAAGATTAAATGAAATAGGGGAAAAAGAGACAAAAACATACTTCTTAGGAAAATTAACTGCATGGGGTAGGAATCAAGGAGAAGAGATTCCAAGTGTTTAAGGAGGAAGAAATAGAATTTGATCAAAACTGCATAAATCATCATGAAGACACTGTGTGTAAACCATGCAAACACAATGCACAAAGTTAACTTTTCACTCTATGGAAACCTTTAAACACTTGTGACAATTCAGAAGTGATCACTGCAAGGACTAGAACTTAAAGATCTTTGAATCAATTAAAATTAGGCTAAGACAGATTTTGTAGTCTCAGACTACAAGAAAATTTAATAGATCTTTATACACAAACCATATTCCAAACAAAATAACTGATACTGAAGATTTCTTCTACCTTAGTTGAAAAATTAAATACTATACTTTAAAAGGGTATTGAAAACAAGAATGTTTTATAAGAATAAAAGCCTACTCAACTGACTTATAAAATAGCCACAATTCAAGTGATGTTTTGGCAAATTTCTTGTTTTATAATTTTTGCATCAGAACACAGCTATTTCTTTTTTGATTACCAAAATATGTACTATGATCATGTCTGGAATATATAACCCATTCTTCTTAATTACAGGCAATAAAATGACTTACAGATTCATTCCACAAAGGCCTTTTGAGAACCATCACATTTTATATTAATAATGGACCACTACTTTACAGTTTATTTTTGTGTATTGATAAAGTCAATCTTAACTGCAAATTCAAACATCCCCACTGAGAGAAAACCTTCAGTTGAAAAAACAACAGAGTGAAATTACAACATACCAACACAATCCTCTTGTTTGTTTTCAGCTTGACATCTAAGACAGGCATCTAAAAGTAAACAAATAGCAATTCTCATTCTGATGATCAGAAGGCAATTTTTAAAACCCAGACACATCAAAGTCAAATAAAAGCCCTAAGGGTTAGAGATGAAGATAAAAGACTCATACTATTAATTTCTCATCTGAATGTAACTATTTAAAGATGACTAAAGTACAAGGCACTTCACAAATTACTTATGACCAGGAGCAATTTCACAATGGTTACCGACCCTCTATTTTTACAAGCTCTGATGAAAAGATGACCTGACAGTGGATGTAACCACTAGTGAAAAATATGCCATACTCTACCCCTAAAAGAAGTTATTCTAAGCTTGCTGGGCATACCCACATAGATCAATCTTAGAGGTAGTTTGTTTTCAATATATTCTTTTTAAATAAATCATGTATCTACTTCTACCTGTCTATCTTGGAGCTCTGGTGGCATAGTGCCCAAGGCAATATGACTGCTAACCAGAAGGCTGGAAGTTCAAACCCATCAGCCAATCCTCGGAAGGAAGATTGGGCAATCTACTTCTGTAGAGATACTGCCTTAGAAACCTAAGGAGGGGTCGCTATGAGTCAAATTGACTCCACGCAGTGAGTTTGGTTTTGGTTTGGTCTGTCTGTCTAACTATCTATGTCCACTGCCATTGAGTCATTTCTGACTCACAGCGATCCCCACTGAGTTTCCAAGGTTCTAAATCTTTATGGAAGTAGATTGCCTCATCTTCCTTCTGCAGAGCAGCTGGTGGGTTTGAACCAATGAACTTCTGGTTAGCAGCCAAATCCCTTACCCACCAGAGCTGGCTCGCTTGCTTGCTTGCACCCTCTATGTATGTATGTATTTGTAATTACTCATACATACATACATAAACTCTGGGAGGATATCCAAGAAACAAACAATAACATCTATCTAGGAGAGGATGAAATGGCAGTTTTCACTGGGTACCTTTTTATATATGTATTTTTTTATGTGCCTGTATTAACCTATATAAAAATTAAATTCTTTTCAATTAAAGTTTTTTCCAAGCAAATTTTCTTGAGTCATTGATACTTAGGTACAAAGTTAGGTTACAAACCTAACTAACTTAGATTACAAAGAAACTTCTTATTTTCTTTCCAAAGACACTTATGAGTTCCTTTAAAATAAACTACCCTGGTATGCTTCCAAACGGTTAAGACTGGTGGTCATCTAAATTAAGACTAGTGAAAAAGCAGTGAGGTATAGAAGGGATAGAGGTTTTGGAGCCAGAGAGATTTTAAGCCAAATCCTATCTCATAGCTATTTACCAGCTGTATGGCCCTGGACCAGTTATGAAGTTCAGATGAGCCTCAATTTCCTCACTTGTAAAATGGGGATAATACTATGAGGTATTTATATATTAAGTGGGAATGATACAAATCTGTAAGAATTTTATTAGATAAGAGATACTAGGTACTCAATAAAGAGCTCTGGTGGTACAGTGGTTAAAACCCATGGAAGAAAGATGAGGCAATCTACTTCCGTAAAGATCGACAGACTTGGAAACCCTATGGTGGTTGCTATGAGTCAGAATCAACTTGACGGCAGCGAGTCTGGTTTGGTTTGAGTCATCTTTATTTTCTTTTAAAGAAAATGCTCTCTTTATAGTTAAGCCCGAGCCACAGCATCTACTTGACAATGACAAAGTAAGTATTAGAAACGAGAACCCAAGGGTAAAGTAAAAGTTTTCAAAATCAATCTGGGCAAGTATGGCTAACGAACAACTGCCTCCTTTGTCATGAAACCAAAATAACTGGATGGTGCCTGGGTACCATTACTGAACATTCTGGTCAAAGATTCCACAGAAGGTCAAAAGGGGAAAAATTTTGAACAGAATTTGAACTTCTCATGGACTCCAGACTTTCTGGAGCCAAGGGGATTGGGTGAATCTCTGAAACTATAGCCCTGAGATGATCTTAAAAATATCCCCTGGAGTCTTTCTAATATCAAACAACAGTTAAGCTTAAGGAGCTCTGGTGGCATTGTGGGTAAGGCATAACCCCAAGGTCAGCAGTTCAAACCCACCAGATGCTCTACAGAAGGAAGATGAGGCAATCTACTAAGTCATTACGAGTAGAAATGACTCAATAGTGTGATTTAAAAAAAAAAAAAAATATCCTGAGCATTATGCTCTTTTAAGAGCTATCCATATGAGATCAAAGTGACAAAAGCAACTTGAAAGATTAGATAGGAACCTTGGGGGCAGTGTGTTTATGTTAATGGGGGAAGAACAACTCAGAAAAAGAGAATGAGTGGTTGCATAACCCAACAATACAGTCAATGTCACTGAATTATACATGTAGAAATAGCTGAATTGGTGTATGTTTTGCAGTGTTTATTCTCACCAACAAGAATATTTTAAAAAATCCAATCTAGGGTACAATTTGCTGATGATGGACCAATAACATGGATCATCACTGGGTGGAAGAGGAATCAAAGGGGTAAAAGGAAGTTGAAATCACAGAAGAGAGTAGTTTTAAACATAAATAGGAGAAAAATTCTGCAAAAATGGAAACGCATGGAGTTGAAACCTGCATCTCTTATTACACTGGCTTATGCTCATTTCCTTGCTCCTCTCCTTGCTCTTACCACCCTTAAGAAAACGCCACCACTCTGGCCTCTTCACTGTGGATAAAAACAATTACTGCCTCTCAAGGCTTTCTTCAATTCCACAATCACTGACCATCTATGCTGTGAAAGGCGGGAGTTCTGGCAGCATAGTGCCTAAGGCACTTGACTGCTAACCAGAATGCTGGCGGTTCAAACCCACCAGCCACTCCTTGGAAGATGGGGCAATCTACTTCCATAGTGATACTGCCTCCGCAACCCAAGGAGGGGTCACTATGAGTCGGGTCTGATTCGATGGCACATAACGACGACGATGCTGTGAAAGGAGTTAGTTATACACTGGGGACAACAAAGTGACCGTGGCTCACCAGCAAATGGGGAGGCAGACAAGAACATAAGGATTGTGATAAAGAGTGAAGAAATGCTACCTATATCTGGCTCTGATTCTGTGTTATCACAGAATTTGAGAATTTTAGAACTATAAAGGGAAACTTTGGTGATCTCAACTGCCTTTTACAAGTTAGGAAAACAAGACTCCCAAAAGTTAAGTAAAATGCCTATATTAACATACAGCCACGAAGGGTTACTCCAGCTTTTCATAACGTAGCTATACCAGTAAACTTACTCCTCTCTTCCTCATCAGCATTTGCTCACTGTGCCATATGCTTTCAGGATGAAGTCAGACAGTGGAAACCAAGCAACAGTGTTACCCGCATCACAACAGAGTAATAGGCAAATTTTGTACCAAGGCGTCAAAAATATATCATTTAGATATCTGAAATAAATTCCAAATAGCAAAGAAATGGGATTAAGCGGGATTTTGTTTCAGAATCTAAAAATCTCTGGATTATGCTTGTAGCTTTGATGTAGATTTATTGTAAAAAAATTAAACCAAATCTACAAAAATTCCTAGTTTCAGATAATTTTTTTTTCTTTTAATATTTCTAATATCTAAAGCAGAACATTTCTAAGGAGTACATAACAGCAACACTTCTTAGTATGACTGTTGGTAAGGATCAGGAAGTCTTTAAAAGTTCTTTCTGGGGTCACTTGTCCACTAAATGGATATTAACACCTCATAAACAAAATACAAAGGTTTAGTCCAGAATACTTTGCTGAACCCAAAGCACAGCTGTTGTAAATCTGCAACATTAATTCTACAGAATACTTACTATAATTAGAAAGTTAAATGATGAATTTGAGCCATTTATAACCCATACTTTGACCTACTCTATAAATCAGTAAAATCTGTCACAAAATTTGATTATTTTAAGTTTCTCCATTTCCATTTACTATTTTTAAAAACAGTAATAGTAAAAAACATAATGGAGAAACTTAAGAAAAGCATAGTTTAGAGATAAATTCTTTTTACAGTAACAGAAACATACAGGATAAAATTTTTAACAAAGCTTGTCCTAGAAAAGACGAGATGAATAAATTGCTTGGATTAGTTAAAAATGTCACACAAACTAGAAATCATGATTCTCGTTTTTAAGTAAGGGGTGTGTATGTGTGTGTGTATGGGAGGAGTTTACTAGCAACTGAACTAGATGCCTTTAAATCTAATACACAGTGTCTAAAATCAAGTTCTTTCAAAAGTAAAAAATATTTTGAATCTCACTGCTGTAAATTCTTTTTGAGACAAACTTTTTATTAGTGAAAAAACAAGAGAGCATACTAATGAGCATAAATTGAGAATTCTCTTGATTCTGGTAACTTTTTGTTAACCGGCTCTAAGAGCTAATTTGTGATTGAGTATGTTTATTTTCTCACTGTCATGCTTTGCAAATGAAAGATGTCTTTCCCTCATTTATTCTGGTGTGATGTTTTCATTGTACAGCAATTAGATATTTTAAATATGATCTTATGACCTTTTTTTTTAAGGAAAAGAAATTTTCTTTAAGCTATTTTTTCCAATTCTCTCATTTTCAGTATAAGCCATGAGTTTTCAAACCATAGAAACCTCAGATTTTTTCACCTACCCTGAAGAAACTTTTAAAATGCTAAACTGCCATGCAGACGATTCAGACTCACAGAGACCCTACAGGACTGAACAGAACGACCACAGACAGTTTCCGAGGCTATCTTTACAGAAGCAGAATGCCTCATCTTTCTCCCGTGGAGCAGCTGTGTGGTTAGAACCGCCGACCTTCTGGTTAGCCGCCAAATGCTTTAACCATTATGTTCAGAGCTCCTCTTAAATATGCTTTGTTGTTGTTGTTGTTGTTTGCCGTCGAGTCAAACCTGACTCATAGCGACCCCTCCTTGGGTTACCGAGGCAGTATCACTACGGAAGTAGGATTGCCCAACCTTCCTTCCGAGGAGTGGCTGGTGGGTTTGAACCGCCAGCCGTCTGGTTAGCAGGCAAGTGTCTTAGCCACTATGCTACCAGAGCTCCCTAAAAGATGCTATGACAGTAATTTTAAACGCCCTACTTAAAAACATAACTTGCATTTAAACAGCATCTTTGTTTCAAGGTGGTCTGAGATCTTAAAACTGAAACCACATAAAACATAACTGGATTAAGGTGGTCTGAAATGTTTCAGTCGATTCAATATTTTTATACAAAATGTCACAGAAAAAGGTATGTAAAAGAGGATTCTCCAGTCATCACTCAGTGCAGGGTACTCTACTCCAGGAACTTGGATATGGCACACTCTAGGAAATGGCATTCTACGATTGCAGGAGGGAGGGCGGCGAAGGGGAGGGTTGGGATCTAGTTTGCCATCTACCCGAGATGCATTTATGTGGAGTATAAGAACTGTCCCTGAATAACGGACTTACATTCTTCAATTCCCACAAAACTTAAACATTCTTCAACTTCACTGTATTCTCTTCAAGCCAAACAAGTGCCACCTAATTCGCACTAACGTGCAATGGTTGGGGACGCTTTTCCTTCCTGCGCTTCTCAAGAGTAGTCATCTGTGGAAGATGACTCTAGAATCACTCTGGTGTGTGACCAAAACGATCAAAGTTCTGAATAAAGACCTTTACGTTAATCCCTTTCTGGTTTTACTTTTAGAGATGGGGCTGGACACACAACGCGAGGTGGTTCGTCCCAGCTCCCATTAAATCATCCATTTAATTTTCTTGGTCCTCGACAACAAGCCTAAAGGTTGGCGAGTCAAACCTATTCTAAGGCGCCTTGAAAGAAAGACCTGGCGATCTGCTTCCAAACGGTCACAACCTTGAAAAACCTACAGAGCAGGTCGACTCTGCACACATAGTGTCGCCTAAATCAGAATCGACCCTACTGCTACTAAGAACCACCACCTGAAATTACCTTTGTTGACTCTCCTACTTGCTTGCTGCCCATCTCCCTCACTAAAATACGAGCCCCTAACCCCATTCTCGCTGCTGGAGCCTGTTGAACTACCCGGCGGCCCCAGAGGCGGAGGCCACAACCCTCAAACTAGCGGCCGCACGGGCGGGGTCCTGGACGCACGGTGCCGGAGCAGGGTGACCCCCGCCCAGCCGGCAGAGGTCTTACCGAGGCCTCGGGCCCGCCCCGCCCCCTCCCGGAGCCAGCCCGCGGAGGCCGCAGCGCGGCCCGGTCTCTCGTGCAGCGCTTACCCATCACCTGGACCCTGCAGATGGCGCACGTATCGCACTCTACGTCCCAGCTCCACATGGCCACCGCGTTCCATTTTTTGAGCGAGAACATTTTGTCGCCCCCGGACTTGGAGCCTGCGCTCCCGGAGTGAGACGATAGGACGCCAGGCTCCTCGCCGTCTTCCACGTCGGCCATGGCGGCGGCGTGGAGCCGGCGGCGGAGACGTTGGGCCGGGGGAGGAGGGCAGCTATGGCGGCTCCCTGGGGCCGCCCCACAGGCCACAGCGCCACCGGCCGGCCGCGGGCTACCTCGGTGCCTCCGATCGGGGCCACCAGCGATTGGTTGGCGCGGTCTGGTGACGTAATATACGTCGGCGCCAGGGCGAGGCCTCAGTCTCCTCCGGTTACTCCGGCAGCCCGGAAGTCTCCGGAGCAACTCGTGATTGAAATCTGGCAACACTTCTTCGGTGTTAAACTTATCACATGAGTCGCGCAAACTGTGCGGGAACCACGTGCCTTGCTAAAGTCTTCATTAAACTTACCACTTAAAAAAATTTGTCTTGTTAATTTATTTGCCTCCAGATATAAACTTCATCAAAGCAGTAACCATGTCTTTATCACCACTTTATCCCCGCCGGTATCTGAAAAATGGTTGGGCAATCTACTTCGGTAGTGATACTGCCTCGGAAACCCAAGGAGGGGTCACTATGAGTCGGGGTGACTCGATGGCACGTAACAACAACAACAACATCACTACGGAAGTAGATTGCCCCAGTAATTCATTAAAAAATAACAGTAATAAATCCACTACAAGATACTATTAAAGCAATGACATAAACCATGTAGCTTTTTGAAAACTTAGGCCCTTGGGCTGTTAACCAAAAGATTGTTGGTTCCCGCAGGCTCCACAGGAGAAAGACTTGCCCCTTAGATTACAGCCAAGAGTACCCTGAGGCAGTTTTACTCTGTTACAAAACCAAACCCACTGCTATGAGTTAATTCTGACCCATAGTGACCCCATTGGGTTTTCAAGGTTGAAAATCTTTACATGCCTCATCGTGGAGTGCTGGTGTGTTCAAACCACCTACCTTTTGGTTAGCAGCCCAATGCCTTAACCAGAGTGTCACCCGAGCTCCTTTACACTGGGTTGCTATGAGTTGGAATCAACTAGATGGCACCAAACAGCATTCATGAGAAAAATGAGAGGGAAATGTTGTGTTGTTGTTGTTGTTGTTGTTGTTATGTGCCGTCGAGTCGGCCCCGACTCATAGCGACCCCTCCTTGGGTTTCCGAGGCAGTATCACTACGGAAGTAGATTGCCCAACCTTCCTTCCGAGGAGTGGCTGGTGGGTTTGAACCGCCAGCCGTCTGGTTAGCAGGCAAGTGTCTTAGCCACTATGCTACGTACTGTCAATTCAGTATGACTACGGAAGTAGATTGCCCAGCCTTCCTAATGAGGAGTGGCTGGTGGGTTTGAACCTCCAGGCTTCTGGTTAGCAGTCAAGTGCCTTGGGCACTATGCTACCAAAGCTCCTGAGAGGGAAACTGTACCTGAATATTATTATGCAAATTGTTTTTGACTTGTTGGCCCTCTGAAAGGATCTCAGAGACCCTGGACCACACCTTGAGAACATTAAATGTACTCTAACTTCCTCCTTTTATATGTAGGGGCTATGAGATCCAGGGAAGTGAAGTGACTTAAAGATCACATTGCTATCATGTGATGGTGATAGTTTTGAAACCAGGGTCATTCTACTTCTAAAACCAAAAAGCAATTACCATCTCATCAATTCCAACTCGTAGTGACCTCAAATAAGAAATTTGCTCAGTAGAGTTTTCAATGGCTGATTTTTTGGAAGTAGATCAGCACCTGCACACCTTTCTTCTGAGGCACCTCTGGGTGGACTAAGAAACCCACTGCCATTGAGTGGATTCTGACTTATAGTGACCCCCATTGGGTTTCCCAGGCAGTAAATCTTTATAGATTTACTTTATAGATTGCCCCGTCTTCTTTCTGCACCACCAGAGTTCCTTCTGGGTGCACTAGAACCACCAATCTTTTGACTAGCAGCCAAGCATGTTAACTGTTTGAAATTCTTATGTTTTCCCAAGGAAATTAAACAAATCTCCATTTTAAAGATAAAGGAGCTGAGTTAGAGCCTCAGATTTCCCACCTATCTTAGTTATCTAGTGGTGCAGTGCGTAAGGCATTTGACTGCTAACCAGAAGGCTGATGGTTCAAACCAACCCACCAGCTACTGGAAGGAAGGTTGGGTGATGTACTTCTGTGTGATACCACCTTGAAAACCCAAGGAGGGTTCGCTATGTGTCGGATCCCACTCGACAGCAGTGAGTTTGGTTTGGTGTTTTGGTTGTAACAGAAATATGTCAACTAGGTGGCTTTGTTGTTATTAGGTGTCATCATGTTGGCTCTGCCTCATAGAGACCCCACGTACAACAGAATGAAACACTGCCTGGTTCTGCACCATCCTCATATCCTTGCTATGCTTGAGCCCATCATTGCAGCCACTGGGGGATTTAACAAACAGAACTTTATTTGCTCACAGTTTAGGAGGCTAGAAGTTGGAATATAGGGTGCCAGCTCTATGGTGAGGATCTCCGTTTGCTCTGGAGGAAGGTCCTTGTCTTTTTGAGCTTCCTCCCCTGGATGATGTTTATGTGGCTTGGCATCTCTCTTCCTCGATCTCTACTTGCTCCCTTGCTTGTTTAATCTCTTTTATAAAGGCAGTCCTCAACTTAGGATGCAAACAAGTTACACTGAACCACACTTTTGACTGTTTTTTTTTGTACATCTGATCCTTAGTAAAATGTACCTACATATTATGTTGTAGCACTTAATTTGCTGATGTTATCATTCTCAGATGTTTACACACAGATGGTCAAAGATTGGATTTATAATAAAGATACTGATAATAAAAGGCAATAATAATGAAAACTACAAAATGAAAAAAGAAGTGACTCATAATGAAGATGTCTGAACAGAACCCTGTCTTAAGTTAGGGACTACCTTTGAAGGTATACCTCAAAAGAGATTGATTTAAAACACACCTTATAATAATATTGCCTCATTAACATAACAAAGAAACCCCATTCCCTAATGGGATTGTAACCACAGGTATAACAACAACAAAAAAAAAAAAACCCAAACTCACTGTCATGGTGTCGGTTCCAACTCATAGCAACCCTTCCTTGGGTCCCTGAGGTGTTATCTCTATGGAAGTAGATTGCCCAGTCTTCCTTCCAAGGAGTAGCTGGTGGGTTTGAACTGCCAGCCTTCTGATTAGCAGGCAAATGCTTTAGGCACTACACCAGCAGAACTCCTAACCACAGGTATAGAGGTTAGGACTTTTCTTTCTTTAAAATTTTTATTGTGATTTGGGTGAAAGTTTACAGAGCAAATTCATTTTCCATACAGCAGTTTATACACATTTTGTTTCATGACATTAACTGCAATTCTCCATGATGTAACAGCTCCCCTCCTACTTCCTCCCCATAGTTACCTCTTCCTTGTGTCCTTCCCTCCCATGCATTCCCACCCCCTGAGCTGTCCCCTAGTGTAAACACTGCCTTTCTATTCTCCCACAATTGATCGCTCCAAGGAGTGTATCCACCTGATGTAAATGTTCACCCCATATGCCTGTCTGTTGCCTGGCTGGAAGCCACAGGAGTGAGTTCAATTCCAGACCTGAGGGATAACTAGAGGCCATAGTCTCAGGGGTCACCAGACTCTTATCAGACCAGCAAAACTGGTCTTTTTATTTATGATTTTGAGTTTTGTTCTACATTGTTCTCCCACCTCCTGGACCAATCCCCCTCTGAGTGGTTGACAGTGGTAGCCAGGCACCATCTAGTTCTTCTGGTCTCATGGTCATATAGGCTGAGGATCACATGGTCTATTAGTCCCTTGGTCTTTGGTTTTCTTCATTATTCTTCGCTCTGGACAAGAAGAGACCCATTATTGCATCTACGTGGCCACTTGCAAGCTTTTAAGACCCCAGCTGCTACTCACGAAAGTAGGATGTAGAACAATGTTTTTGTGTAGTACATTATGCCAGTTGAACTCAGCTAAATGGTGCCTGGCTACCACTGTCAACCACTCAAGTGGGATTGATGCACCAGATCCTGGATGGAGTGGGAGAACATGGGAGTCCCGAGCCAGCAGGTCCAACTACTAGTTCCCTTGAAATAGCTGGCTGAGACCAAGAAGCCTCACAACCTTGCCCCTCGTCACCCAGACATTCTTGCAGCACATACAAATATGCATATAGAAACATTATCTGCTAACCGTATACATGGTCATGGGCACACTCCCCCCTGCCTAGACATACTTGATGGTCAGCCTGTTCACCTGTCTATCTACCTGTAGATCAATGCTTGCCATCACTAATAACACAGTACTTTATGTGCAAAAGAGTTCATCTTTGTTGTCTGTACCTCCCGTACACCTCTCTATGTCTTTCTCTTCCTCAGTACCACCATGTTGATCACTTATTTTTGGTACCCAAATTAATACTTGTCTCTACCTATCTAGCAGTGTTCCTTCCCCTCCCCTCCCATCCCTGGTAACCAACAAAGAAAGCTTCCTTTCATATATAAAACCTTTCTTTGGCTTTTTACAATAGTGAACTAATACAGTATCTGTACTTCTGTGATTGACTTATTTCACTCAGCATAGAGGTTAGGATTTACATATACTTTTTGTGGGACACAATTCAATCCCTAATACCACACCTTCCTAGTGGTGGACACCTACAATGTCAGCTTTGGAATTCAGAGCCTCTCACCTTTTATCGAGTCTCTCAAAATCCCCTCACTCCTTATCTCAGGCCTTGTGGTTGGGTGGGGGCTAACTAAACTAGAGGAATCTGGTGGGAGAAACAAGATGCATAAATATGTAAAAACATAAATAAATACAGGGTCACATGTGGCTAGATGCAAATGTATGCTGTTTGCTGGGTAGTGTGTTAAGTGTTACGAGTGTATAGAGGCATCCCTGAGGACAGACAGAGTGAGGGAAAGCTTGAAGGAAGAGATGAAATTTGAACTGGGGAGGATGGAAGCCCTCCGGGCCAGAAAAAGAGTGAACAGAGCAATGTTCTCTGAGGTATTGGCAGGATCAGAGCATTAGTAATAGTGGAAGCTGTGGATCTGATCATGCTAAAGCTATGAGCCAGACAAAATGTCTCTAAGGAGACCAGATGAACATACAAAACACATGGTCTGTTCATATCAA